GGCCAGGACGAAAACCGCATTGTTCACTAGTCTACTCAACTACTGAAAAGCCGCCACACACTGGTAAGTATTCTGTCAGAAACACTAATCGCTAATGCCACAGTGCACACCTTCAAAATGACAAGATACAGTATGTGATTGTGCAGCTTGAATACAAATCTCACGACAGCGCTGCCATTCTTAATGCGTTCTTGGGACTGTATTGAGGTATGTGTGTGTGTGTGTGTGTGTGTGTGTGTGTGCGTGTGCGTGTGCGTGTGCGTATACTGTATGTACTTTTGGCCACTGTTGTTGGTAAGAGAGTAATTATGTAAATGAACGCATTCGAGGAGTGAGAGGGATGACTCGGCTGCCAGTGCCGGTCACAGGCTGTCGTTTAGTTACAGCTCACGCTCATTCAGCACAAAACACAGAGGGACTGAGAGAGAAAATGAAAAAGGGAAGGAGAGGGGAAGCAAGGAAAGAAAGGAAGTGACTGACCTGCCTCCACTGTTTGTGTACATCCTCAGATTTATTTTTCACTGCCTGTGGAACAGGCAGTTTTAATCCAACACAAACTAAACAACACTTATTTATGTTTATAGTGAACATCTGTTTTGCAAATCACAAGCCAACACACAGTTAAGTGAGTAATGAATATGAAATTCAATCAGCTAAATGAACCTAAAGGTATTTTATAGCCACATAAAGTATGAATTTATTATGTATTTATTCAAATGGGTTGTTAGATATTTGAAGGAACATGGGCCCAGAATGCTGATTATAAAATATTAATAATTTGTCTGTTATAATCTTCATCATGTAAATGTATTTGCCTCAATTATAATGTGTCATGAGCATTACTTTTTACAGACCTTTACATAAAGAATTCTGCAGGCTGTGAGGCCTTTTCCTATCATGCCTTCCTTCCTGAACAACCTACCTGCTGACATCCAGGGGCAGATCTAGAATACCTCAGATTGGGTGGCTGGGGCACAAACTCAGAGACGGGTGGCACACATGAAATACATGTAAATTAAACCATTAATTCTGTGAAATAATAAACCATAAATAATTGAGAATTAAATTGTTTGTGTAAAAGTGTAAGACACACAGTGCTGTCTTTAGCTAACTTTTGCTCTGGTCCTTATTTACCCCTGGCCAGGCACAACACTGCTGCACAGTGTCATGCTGCCTGCATGATATAAATTAAAACTAATTTGTCCAATATGGATTTAAAAAACCAGAAACATGTTAATTGTATTTAAGGCAACAATGTGTCTTTACTTTTTATTTTTCATCTATTAATACCTACAAGCATCACATTTTGACACTGGCAGGGGTGACACCAGGGGTGGCTGACCAGATTCTGGGTATGACCGACGCCACCCCTAGCTGCCCCCTTGGCTCAGCCCATGCTGACATGAGACAATCTGACTCAGCTGAAGCTTTTAAAACCAAATATCAAACTTATGTGTACACCAAAACTTTCAGTTAGTTTAACCAGTCCATAGTCCAGAAGGCACGTCCTGATTCCCTTAGCTGATCATTCCTCGCTCTTCACTCTGTTCGACCCAGAAATTGTTCTAGTCTACCATCCTGAAGTGAAGTGAAGTCAAGAACCTTTATTGTCATTATGTATAGCACAACAAAAAATTTTCCGGCAGCTCTCAGCTTAAAAGACACATTATTTACATAACACACAATTGTATAAGTCAATATAAAACTATGAGCAAATAAAAAGGGATGTATGGGACCTAATCAGGTCACGAGCATGTCAGCAGCAAAAGAGTGTAGTAACATTATACGGTGCAGCTCAGTGCCAATCTGAATAGTAACATTATAAGGTGCAGCTCAGTGCCAATCTGAACGACATATCAAAGCTCTTGTTCTTGCTTTGAGGAGTGAGGATTGAGGAGCTAGGAGGCATAAGTGAGGATACAAGAAGTCATCCTTTGCTGAAGTTTATTTATGGACCAACAAGCCCCTTTATTGGAAATCAGTTGATGCTTCAGATGAAGGATCTCAGGAAAGGTCATATTATGTCTCTAAGAACGCGCTTCCTTCATTCTTGTCTTCTCCAGTCTTTTCTTTGCATCTTATGCGGACAGGACTAAGACGCAAGGAAAGGATGCAAGTGCCGAAACTGTGGCTGCAATTAAAGGAATAAAGTTTTACCTACAGTGTCCTGCTGGTGGGTCTCAGTCTCTCTCTGTCTCTCTAAAGCTCTGTTCATTTGTTCCCTCCAGCACACGTGCCCAGGCTGTGTGTGTGTGTCTCGCTCTCATTTCTCCTCCCTGTCCTCTCTGTTACTCAGGTTCTTTTTTGTCCTGGGACCTCTCTCTCCTCTGGCTGTGGGTGCCTCGTTCCAGTGTCGGGATCTGGATCATTGTCCTTCAGGTGCCCCATCTTCTTTTTTTGCCCTTCTCTCCCTCCCTACCTTGGCCATTTCCTGTTCATTTCCCTTTGTCCTCCCTCTGTCTCCAATGTGTGTTTGTTTCCTTTTCCTATATATGTCAACGTCAATGTCAGTTTATTTATAAAGCATGCTTAAAAACAGCATCAGTTGGCCATAGTGCTGTCTAATATGTTCCTTATGTGATTTGAAGGTCTAAGGACAAAATGTGTTCTACACTGTACTGACTGTGATATCCTATGCAGCAAATGTGTGATATGCCATAAAAAAAATACATACTCGTGGCAATGGATCCTTGAAATCAACTAAAAGAAACTATGTGAATCAGTAAAGTTATTTGTACTTTAAGCATCTAATACTGGACAAAAGTACACTGAAATCAGGTGAATGCATAGTGTACAACTTCTATTTATGTGATAAGAAGGTGATCCATGGTGTACTGATGTACTTTCATCCCAACTTAAGAAGTAGAGTAGTATCATCTGCATGCTGCATTGGACGACTACTTCAAGGAGGTAATTTATGGAGTATGAGATGTAAGTGTTTCAAAAGATACACTGGTTCTGAGGTGTATTTCTCTTATCTTAAACTAAAACAGAGCTGTCAATCTGCTGTTATGTATTCAGTCTATAAATGTGACCACAAGAGGATCCAGACTCTGGATTTGGACACAGTACATGACTATACTTCAAACAGGATACTGCGCCGCATAGCACGGTTCTTTGCCAGCTTCATATAGACAAACCCAAAATTGAATTTATACAAATAAATTGTAAAATGATGATTTTCACATCTTTGTGTTTGATCTTGCCGAGGCACAGCATCCCCATTCTAATAGTCCATCACCTGAGCTGACTATGCAAACCAACCCCCCTGCAAGCAGGAAACATGCCCAGTGTTTACTGATATTTATCTCTGCTTCTACCGCTCATCCTCACATATTCATAAATGTGGCCAGCACATGAGATCTCTTATCAGGGACCATGCAAAGTCTTGCAAGGTCCCATTGCTCCTTCTTGCAGTTTTGCTTCTTGGGCTTTGGGGCAGAAAATGAGTCAAGCAGCAGCGCTGAGCCTCAGGGACTTATTCCAGTCAGAGTGAATTGTCAGCCCCCCTCCTACAGTAACAGCAGAGATCAACCTGAAGGTGACACAGAGCTTCAGATCAAGGTAACAGGTCTGTGGACGCAGGGTCAGTGTGTGTGTGTGTGTGTGTGTGTGTGTGTGTGTGTTACAGCCATGCTCTGTGGGTATCTCTGATGCCCCATGAGAGTGACATGCACATACCCATGCACACACTGAGGATATGATGGGAAGCAGATGCAGTGTCTACATCATTGATATTAATTAAGATGATTATAGTTTGACGTGGGAAGAATGTGAAGGGGGCTAAAATTGAACAACCATATTGTATCACATCTGGGGTATACAGATACTGTGTGTGTGTGTAGGTCAGAAGAAGAAAAGGCAAGGATGAAAGAATGATGGCTTTTAATCTCACAGGACAAAAGTGCACAGCTCCTCCACTGCCTCTTAACACACACACACACACGCACACACACACACACACACACACACTCCCCATGTCAGTCCTGCACACAACGATACAGACACACACACACCAATGCAACCCATTTCTCACACTGTTATTCATATCTACAGCATGTAGCCAGAGGGAATTACTGATGGACATCACAGTGTGTAGAATATCCTCAGAGAAGCGTGTACACAGAGTCGCATGAGATAAAGACCTGTCACAAATATTGGACACTCAGGACAGTTTCACACCTTCAGTGGTTCACCCTCTTAGGGAATTTCCCCCTGGTACAAATCAACATGCTGGTGCTACCTATGTTTGTAGAGACATGCATTTTTAGTGTCAGCTGTTAATTTTTTTCTCCTTTTATCTGCATGTCCCAGATGTTATGACCCAGAAAAATAAATAACGTATTTATACAGGATTTTGTGCAGTTTTAACACTATTTGGGTTTTTGGATTTTTATTTCAAAGTTTAAAAGAATTATGTATGTAGTCTGATATACTGTATAATGTATGAGCAATATACACATATCTCCTTAATAATACAAATGTATGACATATATAAAATACAAATTGCTAAGAATATACCATTATATACTGTAGAACAGTAAAATAAATAAATAGTCATCACAATATAGTACTAAGAAAAGCAAAGGAGAAAAGTTACTTAAACAGTAGGCAGACATAACAGATCTGACTTTATAGGGCTTTATAATATATTTAAAAATCCACCTGAGCAAATCATTTTCACTGAGTGTTTAAGAAATCTGTTCTCTGTGCAGCTTGCTTCTGTTTTTTCACAATAAGAGTGGCTTGACTAGTGATCTGCATAACTGTGGTTTGTTTCAAGGTGTTGAAGAACATTCCCGAAATAACTGGGAACAGAAATGACCAAGGAGGCACACTTTTCAAAATCTGGTTAAAGAAAAACAATATCATGACTTTTGTGTGGAGTGAGATTAACGACAGAAATGACACCCAACACCCACGGTGAAGCACAGGCTCCGCAGCTCATCTCCTCAGTGACAAGGGGCTGAGAAGCGGGTGTGTGCGTGCGTGTGTGTGTGACGGGGGTGATGTGTCAGGTGGGTATGGGGGGTAGCCTACAAAATGAGAGCCCGCTGCGCTGGACGAGCAGATGTGAGCGGAGCGCTGTGCGGGAGAGACGCGCCACGATAATTAGTCGCAAATATATTTACGGGAATAACAGAATTATGAGGATTTGAGGCCGAAATCGCCAGAATCCAGTGTCATACTAAGTTAGGAGTCTTCACTCTTCGGGTCGCCGTTCTCTAACATATGGAGATATGGGGATAGACCGGCGGCGGAGAGCATCGCTGGCTCTCACCTTGAACTTTCTCGCCTTGTTTCTGGCCGTGTCGGCTCTCACTACCAGCTACTGGTGCGAGGGGACCCGCAAAGTGGTGAAGCCATTCTGCACCGGTCCGGTCACCACCAAGCAGTCCTTCTGCATCAGGTTCAACAGCTCCAATATCAACGACACGCGGCTGGTGCAGTACATCTGGGAGACAGGGGAGGATAAGTACGTGATGAGGACGTTTCACACCGGCATCTGGTTCTCCTGTGAGCAGAACATCAACATGACCGGTAAGTTTTAAAAGACCGGGCGGCAGATGTTGAGAGAGAGGGGGGCCCTGTGCGTCATGGACAGGAACGTGCGTATTTTCCATCAGAAATATCCTGCTTTAAAACAGTCTAAGGTTTGGGATTAATCTCAGGCATATTAACGTTACATAAAAATAGCACCAAAGACGCATAATCCTAACACCTGCTCCTAATCCCGGAATATAAACTGGTTTTGTGGTCATTCAAAGACTATTAGAAGCAAGACTTCCTTAGCAAGGAATGGTCCATGAAATGACAGAAAATAGTAAACGTCCAAGTTGACATATTCTAATTGGTTGTTGGTTGTCTCGCCAACAACCCAAACCCAAAGATATTTAGTTCGATAAAATACATGACTAGTAAAGCAGAAAATATTCAGATTTGAGAAGCTATAATAAAGATTGTTTGGCATTTTTCTTCAAAAATGTCTAATTTTAAAATTACACATTAACTTAGTGTCTGGATTAATCTAGGGTTGAAGCTGGAAGAGAAAAAAAACCACAGATGTACCATGTCCACTTCAAAGCTGATGTCCAGTTGTCTCACTCACAGGTACAGCAGTTACCACTGTGTATGTTCAAGTGATTTATGGACCAGCTCCAGATACGCCCGCTGAGAACTGCATAGTGCCCCAACTGTGGATCTAAGAATGTGTGGCAGAGTCTGTGTCTCTGCAGTAGTATTTGTTCTGTTGATAGCAGAATTTCTGGCCAGCACTCTGCTGCAAAGGTTTTTAAATCCTGGGGGAGGTAGCAGAGTTGTTGTTGCACAACCACAAAAAGGAAACCCCTCTACAGACTGGACTAAACAGACTGGACCAAATGGAGATTTCTTTGTTACACCACAGTCTAATTTCAGCAAGCAAAGCGACTCTACTGGACCTCAATCTGGGAAATTGGTGGAATACAGGCATCTGTAATCAGCATGTTACTGGAGTGACACTGAAATGTGTAATTTATGATTTTCTCATAGGTGAAAAATGCAGAAGTTTCCTTTATGTTGCACCTTCAAATGAAAGAGGTAAGCATGTATGTTTGTAAAACACTACATACACTCATGCTATATTCATGTTTCCTAGCCAGTCATTTATTTATGAGAACATGACAGGGTAATGAAATACCACAGGTGCAGAAGGAACATGATTACTTTTTGCAGAGATTCAATGTAAAAACATCAAACCCAGCCTGAAAAGCAGCACAGCATCATTCAGCTGTATTTAATTTAATGAAAAAGTCCGCTGTGCCGCTGACAGGGACTTAATAGAAGTTGCTCATAGAAGGAAAACACAAACCCCTTCTCAGGTTCCTTCATCTCACATATTTAGCTCTTTCATTACAAAGGCTGTTTTCTGATCACTCTAAGATGCTTAGTGCTTCGGTGACCCTTCTGATGAAAAGGACTTTAAGAAATGCCAGCCAGCACTTTCTGCCAATAGAACTTCCAGTATCAATTAAACAGCTGTTACAGCATTTATTGCCCCCGAGAGCTACATTTATTCCTTTTCTAATCTTTAAGCCTACACGGACATCATTAGGCTCAGTGCAGTGAAAATACATCTATGGTGTTGGAGTCGATCAACAGAAAGCTTCCAGTATCCCTCCATCAAACAAATCATTTTCCTCTAAGGCAAGGGAGGCAAAAGCTAAGGCTATATTGTGTCAATGTTGTATTTTTGCTAAAATCAATAGGTCTTGGTAAAGACAGACAGCAGAGCTGTGGGTTAACTGATCATTCACACTGCTAATATAAGCAAAGTGGCATCTCAACAGATCAGTCACTTCCATCCAGTCTGTTCTCTAATCAGTTTCCTTAGGTAAATCCTGCTTGTCAGCACATCCTCATTCAGCCTGATAATGAGACTGATTTGACGTTTTGTTTTCACCTTATTCAGTCCGACATTTGCTCATGTTAGCTGTTTTTGGTTGGGAGGTGGGAGAGGGGCTGTTATTGTCAGTCAACATGGAAGCTCTAGGGCCAGTTAATCTAATGTAATGATCTAAAGGTTTGGAAACATTTCTGGAAGCAGTAGTTTTCTTTTTTTACCAAGTGTCACACGAGAAGGCTGTGCATTGAGTAATGAGTCAGGAGATGCTTAGCTTAGCTTAGCATACAGACTGGAAATACCAGCTGTCCTGACTCTGCCCAAAGGTAACAAAATCCCTCTACCAGCATCTGCTCAACTTAATTCATTTGCTTAATCTATATAAAATCTGAAGTGTAGAAATGAAAAGCATCTAGCTCTTGTCAACATGATAAATTAGTATATGTCAAATTAATCCTTTAAGACTTATTTCTCAAAGTCCACTTACCTGTGTTAGTTTTCATCCATGCTAAGCATAATTTATTTAGCACTTTTCTGTCTGCATGTTTCAGAATCGTGCACAGGATTACACCCCCATGCTTAGAATATATGTATTTTATTTTAATAGCTCAAAATCAGAACTTTTCTTCAAAGGGCATCAGAGTCTATACAGCATACCACATTCTCTACCTTAAAATCCACAATTCAGATTTAAAAAACAAAACAAATCCTAAAATATGGATATTTATGCGTCTTATTTCTGTGCCAAGGAACTCAATTGTTGTTCAAAATCTATTGACACACATCTAGTAGTTAGGTGTACTAGGTGGTATATTCCTTTGTAACCATAAACACACACTTCGGGCTCAGTCCCACATGGACTGTCCAGATGAGGATTAATCCAGCAGATGTGGATTAATCCTCATCTGAAAATAGTCCTCAACAGATGCATTATTCCCTCCTGTTTGACTAACATTTGCTAAACACTACAGTGTCCAGCTGTTTTTGGAATTTGCAAAGTTTTTTTCAAAAAGGAAGCTATTGTGCGATGTGTTTTAAAGATTTCCATCTTCAGTAGGAAAACGTACATCCGGTGGGTTTCTGGCTGTCAGCCACAGATATAGGGGAGTCAGACAGTACTGTGAGCTCAGCACCAGACCTACAGTATGTGAATTGCTAAAATAATCCAAGAGGTAGGTGTGATTTCTGGAGCCAGCCCACTTCGTGTTTGCCTTTGCTCAAAGAAAACCAGACACTGACACTGAAATAACAGCGTAGATGCCAGTGTTAGACTGAAGCAACCCTAGGTGAAATCTTCTGCCTCTTTAGCTCCAGTTTCACCTCTGTGCCACTATGCCACACGCTGGTCATCATATGATTAAAATATTAGATATATCAGTGCAAAATAAAAGGGAAACTCTTATGAAATACATTTAATTGCAGCCACTTTCAAACCCTCGAATACGCCCTTCTTAAATGAACTGCAATCATTAACTGAAGTGTGGAATTTGATTTACAGAAATAAAGACTCTTTTAGCTGAAGGTGTAACTCTGTACATAATTCATACAGTGATATTTTGGGTAACAGGCATATTAATTTAATCCACTTTGTGATTAATTAACCACAAAATAATGTACCTGCCCTCGGGTGATACATGCAATTACACTACAGCTTACATTTAAAGATTTTTAGATCCACTGATATCTGGTTGCACCACACATACTGCCACAAGTTCAGGATGTTGTGTGTCTCTTGGTAGATCGTATATCCTTCCTCTGTCTGGGAAGGTTAATGATATGGGTGCCTCCTTCTCTTCTTGTCCCTGTCCTCTCCCTTTGCCCTTGCTTACCCATATTCTTTCTCATTGCCCCACCCCCATCTTTTTCCTCTGGCTTCGTATCATCCTCTCCACTGTTCACTCGCCCGTGTTCATCCCCACTCTCTTTGCTATTCCTTTGCAATGATGAATTCTCTGTGCAGGAGTGCTGTGGCTGTGCATTGTGGCAGAGTGCCTGTACATCCTCTTGCTGGCCACCGGGGGCATCCTCATGTCCATAGAGGTGTGTCACTTTGGCAATGTCATCGACGGTCTCAAGCTCAATGCCTTCGCTGCCATATTCACTGTGCTCTCAGGTCAGTGATATCATGATATTTGCACTATGAAATCCAGTGGAAGATAGTTATGTGGATCAAATCAAAATGCTGGGATTCTGGAGGGTTTCTTTGTTGTTTTTATTAAAGTTGAACTGGAATGAGAATTTTCACTTTCAGCTTTTGTGCAAGGAAATAAAAATTTAATGATACAGTAGCTATTGTGTAGTTTTACATTTTACAAAAGTAGATCAATTCTTTTTGGGCATATTTGTAGAAACAGTATTGTAACTTTGGGTGGGTGTTTCCTTTGGCAGAATTGCAGGGGTGGAGGTGATAGCTCGTTGCAGAGTGGGTGAGCACCTGTAGTGGATCATTAAATGGCCTATTTTAGACTGTGTGGAAATGCAAGATTGATTTGAAGGGAGACTTATGGAAGCTTACACATTTGAGGGGAAACCTACGTGTGTGATTTTAGAACCATGGACAATAAAGCTTACACATTTGAGGGGAAACCTACATGTGTGATTTTAGAACCATGGACAATGGAAAACAAAGTCCAGCAACACTTGCAGTATTTGGAGGAACTTTAATGTAAAGACCAATGTGTTTCAGCAAGGAGCCTTCATCAGAGTCTATTAAAAGTACACATCAAAGAGTTCTATAAGTAGTACAAGTATGAAAAAGATTCTATAAAAACAGCAAATCACATACAAACTCATACATGTCAGTCAATAAAAGCACGCAAACAAGCAGGTTAGGTATATAGTCACCACAAAAACAAAAAAAATTAACTGAAAATAAACTGGGCAGAATTAGAACCACAATGGATATTACCATGGATTTATCATAAAACAGTGATTTGCTGATATTTAAACAGCACAGCTGCTGACAGGTTATTTCAGAACCACGGTCTGTGGACTTTACCAATAACTTAAAATCTCAGTCAGATAAAGAATAAAGACAGGCAACCAAAGATCGAAGGCAAATGAATGCACAGTTTGACATTGTCAGGACTCCAGACTGCCAGTGATCAGTCACATTTTGTGACCAAATTTACAATCCCAAATCAGAAAAAGTTGGCACGATATGTAAAATCAAAATTAAATATGAAAATAGTGTCAATATAGCAGCACATTATTTGATGTGATACCTCCTCAGTTTTGTTTTTTTTTTTGTTCAAAATGAACACTCACTTCAATTCTTATGTCTGCAACACATTCTAATAAAAGTTGGAACAGTAAAGCATTTATCACTGTGTGATGCTGCCATCACAACACTTAAAAAACAGTTAGGGACTGAGGACAACAAGTGATAAAATGTGTCTGGTTTAATTTTGTCCTATTCCTCCTGCAAACAAATCTTAAGGTGCGCAACAGTCCTGGGTCTTTGTTGACACAATTTGCATCTCAAAATGTGCCACACATTCTCTACTGCAGACAGGCCAGTCCAGCACTCGCACCCTTTTCCTCCACAGCCTTGGTAATGTGCACTATGAGGTTTTTCACTGTGTTGTTGAAATATGCATAGACGTCCCTAGAAAAGATGTCGCCTTGAAGGCAGCACATGGTGCTCCAAAGTCTGTTTTTTTTCTTTTATGGTGCCACCACAGAAGTGTAAGTGACCTTTGCCAAGGGCACTGACACAACCCCAGACCATGACAGACTCTGGCTTTTGGACTAGTTGCTGGTAACAGTCTGGATGGTCCTTTTCATCTTTGGTCCGGAGCACATGGTGTCCATTCCTTTCAAGAAAGACCTGAAACACTGACTGGTCTGACCACAGTACACGTTTCCACTGTGTGATGGTCCATCCCAGATGCCTCTGAGCCCAGAGCAGTCGACCTCTGGACACTGTTGACATAGAACTTCCTTTTGGCCAAGTACAGTTTTAAGCAGCATTTATGGATGTAACTGCGTATTGTAGTGGCTGACACAGATGTGCCAAAGTAATCCTGAGCCCATGTGGTTATATCGCTTATAGAAGAGGAAGGGTTCTTGATGCAGTGTTGTCTGAGGATCAGAGAACACAGTCAAACAGCTCAGGCTCGGCCCTCGTCCTTTACACACTGACATCCCTCCAAATTCCTTGACTGTTTTAATCATGTTCTGCACTGATGCAGTCACCTGTTGACATCACCTGTTTCAAATGGAATCATCATTTCATTACTGGCCCTGAAATACAACATCCCAACTTTTTTTGGAACATGTTGCAGGCACCAGAATTGAAGTGAGCATTTATTCTGAACAAAGAATAAAATTGATGCGGTATCGCATCACGTAATGTGCTGCTGTGTTGTTTTCATCATAGTGTAATCTCTACAGACAGCTACTGTATTTGACAGAGGCATACACATAAAACCATTACTGACTCCTTAATGATGAACCTACAGTACGTTTTGTCCAGTTCTGCTGCTGTTCATGCTGGTGAACACAGTTTGTCCAGTGCCACCAGTCTGAAATGTTAGTCTGCAGCCCTGACTTTGGAGAGAGAGAGAGAGGCAGGCTGACATTGATCATGATGATGTTGTGTCATCGCCCTATTGTAAACTAATTTTAGAAATGTTCTAATCTGGACTTTTTGTGTTGACTTTCCAACATAGTGTCACAAACATTATTCAGCGGAACAAAAAAGTACCATCCTTGGCATATTTCTCACTAACAATCTCACAATGCAATGTGACACATTGTAGAGATGTGAAAATGACAGTTGTCTGACTCTGCGTCTGTCTGTGATGATGAAAATATAATGATTATTAAGTGACAAAAATATCAATTTACTGCTTACTATTGAATGTTATATTGAATGTCTGTTATATGTCGACTAGTGAATGAGTGAACAAGGGAGCGATTTCAAACACAGACCCCGGAGAAAACATGGGGCATAACCAAATCACAGACGGAAGAATGGTGGAATCCAGGTGGCTGTGTGACTGTGTGACTGTCGGAACTGAAGTGACATAATCAGCTATTGTTAGTGCCGACCCACACAAACCAGTCAAATGATCTGTTAACCAGAACCAAACGTTCACACCCACTGGAGAACACTGATGTACAGTAAAATAGGAATCAGATTTCTTCCTCTAAGTCACTTTCAGTTTTGACCAAAACAAACACTAAAACTACTTAGCTCTGCCTTTTGACTTAGAAGAGACTGGGTTCTTCGATGTATCAGCCACTATCAGTCTTGAACCTTAAAAACACTGCAGCCACAATAAGTGAAGTGAGCATGTGTGAAGCCAATAACATTTTATTAGGCACAACAACAAAAGCCAATTTTAGGGAATTACCCTTACTAGCTTTTACTTTGTATTTTGCATTTTTCAGTTAAACGAGAAGACTGATAGCACTTTGATGCCTATGCATTCACAGTGGTATCAGATTATTTGTTTTCTTGTTTGCAACTTCAAGTGGAGCTCTGTTATAAAGTTCTGTACTCTCATTGTGATCTCACTGCTGGTTTTTTTTTAGCTTTAGACAGAACCATGCTTTTAGCTTTCTGTCCAGTCTTTATGCTAGCACATCTAAAGCGATCAAGAGCTTCTCGCTTCTCTGGAAAGAAAGAAAATCGCCCATTTCAAAAAATGTCATCTATGGAGACTATGGGCTCTCTTTTCCACCCAGTGCAGCTTCTGCATCACTTCAGTCTCAGTCATTATGCAGTTTTCCTCTGGCACACATCTGCTTTTTTTGTGCACTGGTGTGTTTGGTGCTTTCCTGCCATGAATGAATGCGCTTACGCTGATCTCTATAGCAGAGGCGGCGAGTAAAATTTCATGTGACCAAAAGCCATAACAGACATAAGACCAAGATCTGTATGCGGCAAGTATATCTTCCTTGAAGTATCTAAGACGATGTCTACAGAGGAACCAGTAAACAAAGTTCAGATAATCTTGTGTGCAGCACTTCTGACTCCGCTGACAGAGATCTAGAGAAACTCTGTTCAGAAACAGAGTATTTAGACCTTGCTGAGCCTGAGGGTGAATATTGATCAGCTTGGATTTAGAGATAGGTTCCCTGACTCTGACAAAAGCTTTGATTTTAGACTCACTACAAAGTCTGCTAAGTCCCCTTTGATCTTGTTGGCATGTGAAGCAATGAACTGGTTGTGCCCTTACTGGTTAAACATCCTCCAAACTTTGCATTATTGGCTTGGTGTCTCATTACTGCCATGTGGCACTTGTTTGTCCCTGTTCTACAGTAAACTGGCAATAATACCTCTAAACCTTTAAGGAGAGAAACAGAAACAATAAGAAAAAAATAAGCCTGATTAGTTACTAAGAGACTAGGGAACAAATCAGGAGGCAGTTCCACATACACCATCCTACTACTCACAGCAGTAATGTCAAATTAAATTTTGTCACAGCTGAAGACAGCTGCTGCTGCAATGAGGTTGATGAAAGTAGTGAGACCGAGGAAAATCATAAATTTTCAGGTCATAAAAACAAAACAATGAGCTGAAAGATGTTAAAACATTCTGGAGAGCTGAGACGTATTTCTCTTTGAGTTTGTCACCATAAGTGACCATAGTGTCACTTTTATTTAAAGTTTACAGGAAGGTTATTTCACCTCCTTAGAGGAGAAATGAAATGTATATGCCGTGTCCTCCCTAGAGTGAGAGCTGGGCCGGGCTTCTGTTCTGAAGCCCAGATATTTCTGGCACGCCAAGAGGAACAGACACAATCTTCAGTATCAGTATATCACAACAGGGAGGATTTTTTTGTCCCCCTTTCACTCATCCAGTTGTTGTCCTCATTTCTTCATTTTGTTTTAGTCTCTAGCTCAGGCTTCAGTGAGTAATGTCCTTGTGGCCTTGCCCTGGTATTTCGCCTGTTCTGAATTTCAGTCAAACAGTAACTGAACCTCTCAACCTCGTCTGCATGTCTTATGTTTTATTTATACACGACTCACTGTCTGGAGAAATGAGCTGTTTGCATAAAAAAGGAGGCAAACCCGCTAAAGATCATACAGTGTCATTTTTATTCTTGTGCAAAATTTACTAAAGCTTTGACATGTTTTATCTCATGTGTCAACTTCCTGGGC